CTACACATGAAAATGTCCAAGAACAGACCTCAGAAGACAAGACCATTTTCTCACTTCTGCTGGAAATCAAAGAAAAACAATCAGTTCTTGAAAAAGATATAAAGAATCTTAAGGTCATTGTTGAGGAAAACAATTAGAATCTTCGTCTTCATGAAGAACAAAATAAGGCAGATATTGAGAAAGCAGTTGCTCAGTGTTTATCCAACATGGAGAAAGCTGTTGGTCAATACTCTACCAAGATTGAGGAAGCTGTTCAAATCCTGGAGAATTTCCAACTTGTTCGAACCCCAACAAAGAAATAGCCTGTTTCAACTCCTTTATTCTTTCAAACCTTGCATTTTGAATTGGATATGTAATTTAATCTTTGACATGGTTTGTTATTTCTGTGATTGACATGGTTGATTTATTCAATTTAATGCTTTAATTATCTATTTTTGTTGATGACAAAAAGGGGGAGAATATATGTAGATTACAAAGATGCAGGTTGATATTACTTAATATGTAGAGATAACATGTTTTAATCATGCAGGATTATTGGATATACTCAAAGAAAGGAAAAGGGCACAGACCTTAAAAATTTACACTTATATTTATTATCTGTGCCTTATGTGCTTCATAGATACATATGCTCACTTTATTCTCAAATCTATTTCAAATCTTTTTAATCTGCTTGGAAGTTTTGTCACCATCAAAAAAGGGGAGATTGTTGAGGAAACCTCCTAATATATTTTGATGTTGACAAAATTATCTATGTTAATCTTGTAAATCTAATACATACTCTGAAGTATTTTGATCAAGGTAGATGTATTCTGGAAGTGGCAAGTTTAATACTTTGAGAGAACTAAACTTTCTGGAAGACCTCAGACTTTATGAGGTTCAGAAGGAAGACTTCAGACTTTACAGAATTCAGAACGAGAAGTTCAGACTCTACCATAAAAGTCATTCATACTCTATTTTAAGTAGACAAAAAACTTCAAACCTTACTTATGAAAGGTTCAGACCTTACTGAAGACCCACACTAACTTAAGTTCTGAATGTAAAGCAATAACCAAAAGTTATTCAGACTCAGAAATTATTAGAATGCTAGTGATCTAGCGTGGATTTCACAGAAGAAAAGTTTTGATTGACTCAATCTAAGGCTATAATTGATCGACAATCAAACATTATGGCAAATATATATCACAACGGATATAGCTCTACTTATGGAAACCAAGATTATGATTGTATGGGCGACCAAATTCAGTGGGATTCTGATTTTGTCAACCAACAGATACTCAATCAATTTTATACAAATCTATCCAAGGTGAAGATTGGAAGATGATCCTCTGAAGACTGTCCAACGGCTAGTTTGGAAGTGGAGGAGTATAAAAAGAGATTAATGAGGAGTAGAAGGCACTGAACGAAATAAAGAATCAACAAGTCCAAAGTCTAAGCATACTCAAATTCTATTACTTGTCTTTCCTGAGCAAAACACTGAGATCTTGAGGGACATTTTGTAAGAGTGACTGTGTGAAATAGAGAGTTCTATCATTCATCGAGTGATATCACTTAGAACTTGTAATCCTTTTTTATCATATAGTGAAACCCAGGCGGTAGGCTGTCAGCGTGGGAGAATGAACATAGGCTTGATCTAAGCCAAACCACTATAATTTCTTGTGTGCAGTTTCTCTATCCCTAAACTCTTATTCTATCTTTTATACTGCATACTAGCACATTGTCTATAAAGTCTGCTCATAATCTGATTGTCTTTCAGACTTTAATCTTGATCATTTGTTTCCGCTTTAAAAATTAATTAAAAGTTTTAGATCACCTATTCACCCCCCTAGGTGATCCTTGTTAGCTACGTCATAATCACATTACTTTTTTTAATATAGTAGTAATAGTTTGGCATCATCATGCAATATTTAAAAAGCCGGATCTTACAGTTGCATCCTAGAAGTGCTATATAAATATTATATGCAGGTTCCAGATGGCAGCCATAACATTCAGAAAAGACAATGGAAGAACAAATATACGAGTGTAGACAACTATATCCAAGATTTTCTCTTCTAACTTAATCTCAAAATGCCAAAATGAGTTGGCTCACGTAAATGTCTGAAGAGACCATAGATGTGAAAACCTAGATACTGATGTAACCAAAAGGCCTATGCAAGCCAGACTGAGCACACTTGAAAAAGAGTGCAGTAAAGTCTGAACACTTGGATGGATTTTTGACAGGGTAGATTATCAATCAAACAATGAAGACCATGAGTTGCAGAGTCCACAGACCGTTTGCAGACAGTGCATTCTACGATGTTGTGTGCTAACCAAAATATACCTTCGCAAACGGGATAAGATAAAAACAATATTTTTTTCAATGCAAAACTTACACATGTACTGCTTGAACTTCTAGACATACACAAAAACTATTATAGACGTTGTCTACACTTATGAAGGCCTAATCTACTCAGGCCAAAAACTTATCCAGTTATGCAGCAATATATACCTCTAACCACACGAAAACCGTAATTTCACCAAGATATTTGCTTCAACGATTCCATTCAAGCGATCTAAACAGCTATTTAAACTGCCAAATAGAGAATGGACGTGTGCTAAAATTGCAGCTCTTTCCGCATAATGCGATGAGCTGGGTTTGAGGTTACAGTTGAATCTGTTGAGAAGAGATCAAACATATCTGAGGCGATTGAATAATAACATGTCTTGTGAAAAATTTTCACAATGCAAAACCGAATATAGCCTGGAAACACTCACGTTGGAAATTGAGAAACAAGTACTAAAAAGAATACAAGTTTTAATAAGCAAAACTCAGGTTACAGATGAAGAACGTGAAGGATAATCACATGCCGATTTGTAAAAAGAAAAAAATAAGCCACATTTGAACACTGGTCTCAATTCAGAGGAGAGATGGTACAGATTACAGAGGACAGATACAAAGGACCGAGGTCATCACAAGCAGTGCTTTCGCATTCATGTAAATGGTGTTGCATCAGTTTGTATGATAACAAAGTGAAAGATACTTCAAATTGGCTCCAGAAATACTGTCAACTTTCTTTGGTTCCTGTAACGATGTGTAAAGATGAAAGGCAACTAACCCATCAGCAGTTGAAAAGAGAGAGCGTTATGACAAATTTATCATCGAAAGAGCTTTAGCATGCTACTCATTTTTATGGTTGATTTTCAATTTCAGCCAAAGATCAAGACTGATGAAGCAAAACCAAGTTAGCATGTGTTTGGCCATACTGCAGGGTGTCAAACCTTGCACATCTAATGCATATTGCGAAGCGCTAGAAGATCTGGGAATCTAAATTCTGACCTAAGTCATTCTTATATCCCTCTACTTCCACTCCTTAAAATGGTCATTCTTCCTAGCGGTTGCTGCTGGTTGCTCGCAATTGTCAAATCAGATTGACCATCAAGCTCCAGCCTAAGAAAACAGATGTTCACATGGGTACAACTTATAATGTTTCAATGAGTCAAGACTCAGAGCAAGCTCAAAGTTTTGAAAAGGAGAATTCACTGAAATTTCAATAAAGTAAAACTACAGGAAGATTAACACTAGCGCCTACAAATTTAAGCCGCCACTAACACTTTCACTATACATGCGCAAGTATGACAGGAAAATGCATTAATCCCATTCCAACCGAGTCTTCACTGTAAGTTCATGCTCATGTCACATTTGATGCAAACTTCAATCACTGCAGCCACAAGAGATGAAGATGTTGTAATTATGGTGGACTAATGGATCAATGAAAGTGAGCAAAACGAGATACGTCTCTTTAGTTCGTGTATCTCATTAATTCATGTGTCTCTTGAGTTCATGTATCTCTTGGATTCCTGTATGTACTTAATTCATGTATCTCTTGAGTTCTTATATATCTTTAATTCATGTACCTCTTTAGTTCATGTATCTCTTCAGTACATGAATTCTCAAACTCTATAATTTGCATTTCTTCGTTCCAAGAGGCAACCACATCTTCTCACTTCAACTTTTCTCTAAGTATGCCGGTTTCAAGGAGTATTCGACAGAGTCTTGCTTGCATAGTGCTAATTCAAATGGTTTCGAAGTGTTGTATCTTATGAGGCATAGTTCGTGAACCTACTTAGCATGGTTGGCAAGAACTAATCGCCTTAAGCAGATTCGGTTAACCATACCTCAACTCTTGTTTATTTTTGTTATCACTTTCTCAGATTTATTATATTTATGGTTACAACAAACAGTGTTACATATCTTCCTCCAATACGTACGTTTAAAATTTTTTTCTTCCAACAGAAGAACAACTCTGAAGATGAAAAATGCTTGCAATTTCGTACGCAGAGCTCAGATGTACTCTTTTGCTTTTTTTCCCCTTCTTGCAAAACTTCACTGTAAGTTTTGAAATGATCTCCGTCTCTACCCCTCAAATTTTCTATGCAACCAATGAGAACCTTACGACGACAAAAATTGTGGGGCTCCTGTTAGAACTCACGAAAATCTAACGGTACGATTACCAAAGCAAGAATCAAACAAGTCAACGGAAGAAAACGTCTCTACCTTTTTCATGATGCCTCTAGTTTTCGAAGAAGGACGAGCTTACGTTAGCTTGCACGTAGGATTCACGTTATTGACCTCGAAATTTCTAGACAGTTTCCGGTGTGACTTAAACACACCATAGCTAATTTAGAAATACATTCAACATCAAAAAATTATTCCTGCTACAGACAGCTGCTTATGTAGGAAGGAGAAGAACACCAATACCATTGTTGAATGATTGAACCATTTTTGGAAATTCTTGAACAAGCCTAAGGAAGTCAAAAAACGCGTAGGAAAGAAGTATGCTTAATGCATAAGGAATGAGCTGGCTCTGCAAGTGGGCAAAAATCTTTGCAAAGTCAACAACACTTGTCAAAGTCGTTTATGTTAGGCTTCGAATTCTTACGCGGTGGCTATATGAACTATCCAAGAAAATTCCCTTTCTTGTCCACTTTGTCTGTCCCTTGCTATTTCTCATCTCCTTGCCGTGATACACGCAAATAATTCACATTCGCTTGCACACACGCTTCCGCAAAACCAGCAAAATCAACTTACACACAACATTACAAGCTTTAAATCTTCTCTGTGTAGACTTTATTTATGCGAGCTTGGAATACGTAGCTGGCGTTTACACGTTAGCAGACACAAGTTCGCATGAGGTAAACTTTATATGCAGCCCACAACTTGATTGAGAGAAACCTCTAATCAAGTATACCAAGTGAGTTGAGAGAAACACCAAAGATGGCATCCAAATCTTCAAACTCACCAGCACTTCTCCTTTCAATCATTTTGACTCTTGTAGTTGGCATCAACGGCGGTGGAATATCTGTCTATTGGGGTCAAAATGGCAATGAAGGCACTTTAGCCGACACTTGTGCATCTGCAAACTACAACATTGTGAACTTAGCTTTTCTGAGTGTCTTCGGCAATGGCCAGACTCCTGTGATCAACCTTGCTGGCCACTGCAATCCTTCCAGCGGAGGATGCACCGGCTTGAGCTCCGACATCAAGTCTTGCCAAGCTAGCAGAGTAAAGGTGATGCTCTCGATCGGAGGAGGAGCAGGAAATTACAATCTCACTTCCGCTGACGATGCTAGACAGGTCGCAACTTATCTGTGGAACAACTTCCTAGGAGGCCACTCCTCGTCTAGGCCGCTTGGGAACGCGGTGCTTGACGGCATCGATTTCGACATCGAAGGAGGCACGACTCAACATTGGGATGATCTGGCTAGGTACTTGTCTGCGTATAGCAGCGGGGGGAAGAAGGTGTACTTGACTGCAGCCCCTCAGTGTCCTTATCCGGATGCTTGGGTTGGAGGTGCCCTTCAAACAGGCTTATTCGACTATGTCTGGGTCCAATTTTACAACAATCCTTCTTGCGAGTACAGTTCTGGGAACATGGGTAATCTCGAAGATGCATGGAAGCAATGGACTTCAATTCCCGCCGGCCAAATCTTCTTGGGATTGCCCGCAGCTGCGGATGCAGCTGGCAGTGGTTTTATTCCCGCATCGGAACTTACTTCCAAAGTACTGCCCGCCATCGAAGGATCTGCCAAGTATGGAGGCGTGACGCTGTGGTCCAGATATTATGATGATCAGACTGGGTACAGCTCTTCCATCAAGGGATCCATTATAAGCAGTAACGTAATTCTTTTATGCGAAAAAATTCAGTAATTCAAAATCGTAGATCTTCATGATGTTTCTCAATGACATACCTTTATCCACAATAATGCCCTTTGAAATTATTGTCACTGGAAAATGAAAGAATCAAATAAATTTGATTTTTCTCCTTTAATCCACTTTTCTCTTAACGTAGACTCTATTTGTACATGTTATTAATTAGTGCCTTCCATCAAAGCATATTTCATTTCGTAAGAGTTGCACATCTTCGTTGAAAGTGTAACTTCTCAATAGAAAGCGCATTTTCATCATGTTCATAGCCAATACTTTTAAGCACTTAAATAGTTATTAAACCATTAATTAATAATATCATGTTGGCCACAATTATTCTGACATCTGTTTTAGGGTGAATCTTACCTTTTGTACTACCATGTAATAAGCTACCTTTCTTGCTTTTAAATACATCTTGTACTAGACAATGGTTGAATTCAAATATGGCTGGTAAGCGAGATTCAACCCCCACCATAATTGGAGCATTGTTTTTTGCATGAGTATATGGCTTTTTCTAGAAATGACGAAACGGGTCACTTTTTCAAGACAATTTTGTTTTCCCTTCCAATCATGTACAAGTTATACAATCACACACAAAAGAAATCATAGCTTCTAGGTCAAATTGTCATCATGTGGATTAATTAGTTCTCCCGTTATAGTCACTTGGGACCCTCCACCACCGAAATGGATTAAACCGAATGCGAATGGAGCATCTAAAGGTAATCCTGGACTTGAGGAGCATGAGGCTTATTTTGAAATGAAGGGGGTGATTGGCTTAGAGGTTTTACCTCACTTCTTGGAATATGTTCGTCTTCACAAGTAGAATTATGGGCACTATGGTTGGGACTCACCGTCGCAAAGCAACACGGTTTCGATAAAATTATTATTGAGATGGACTCCAAAGTTATCACTGAACATGTCAACCCAGAGTGTATAGCAGATAACACTGGACCGGCTCTACTTAAAGATATAAGAAGACTCTTTGACTCTCATTTCGAGTTCAAAATACGGCAAAACTTTTGGGAAGGCAATTGACCTGTTGATCTTCCTGCTAATATTGGAATCGAGAAGTGATTGGACATTACATTCTACCTGCAGCCTCCTAGTGAATTATCTCATGTTTTGTTTAGTGATAAAGTTGGAATAATAGACTTTAGATGTTAAATTGTTTAGTTTTGTACCTTTATCTACCAAAAAAAAAAAAATACATCTTGTACTCATGATAAATCTCCTTATGTAATAACATATCATATGTTTACCGATTAATGTCAAATATATTAATCATGTCATCGCGGTACTATATATATTGAGATCCACTCTTATTTTACAGTCGACTCGATAAATATTCTAATTTGCATATAGAGTAGGTTGGGTTTGTTTCATTTCAAGCATAAATTTCTAACCTAATTCACGTGTCCCAACTACCGTTCAATTTTATGGAGATTGATTTCCAAATCCTCAAGTTACAAATAAAAGATGCAAAATGTTGTATCGACATGGTTTATCAATTTTAGGAAGTGAGGAGAACTGTACTTTTGCCTTTTAAAGGACGTCAAATTTGAAATGCGGATCTAGAACTCAAACAAAGAAGGAGTTTGAGCAAGGATAGAACCTGCGGACATTGTATCGGACCCGGACGATGCAACAAATAAAATAGAGTGAAATGGTCATTTTCGCCTATCATGTCATAAAAATCTACACATGTAATCGCCATATGATCTATTATAAAAAACCTTGCAGTCTTACTTTTAATGATCACATACGAAACATCTATGACCGCAATAGTTTTCAATGATCTGCACCTCCAAACATTCTCGCAAAGGCGGTACAATTCCCGGATATAATGAAAATTAATCATGCTCGGTGCACAATAAAACATTCGATGGGACTTCCGAAGCATGGCACTGAAAATGTGACCTCCGATCATCTACGAGTAGGACGATACAAATTCAATATATTCCTATCAGATTCCCTTTCTTTCGAACTTCTTTTAAGCGGAAAAGACTGTACACTTTTAACTAACAGGAAACCTTATCGAAGCAAACATGTCACTTATGGCATCCTACATGTACTATTGAAATTTGAAACTGACTGAAAGGACAGGGCTGAGTTGAATGGTTGCTCACCCGAAGGCACCAGCATCCGATTGAAAATTTAGCAGCACTTTTAAGTGTCTGCAACAATCAATACATGACATGTTTCGAACAGGTTGTGCTCTATCTAAAATATGGCTATCATAACCACCACCACCACGGTCAGCGGTCAGGTTTTAGGAGAAAACTTAATTCCGCTCGCTTCTTTACATCTAATGCATATTGCGAAGCGCTAGAAGCTCTGGGAATATGAATTTTGACCTAATTCACTCTTACAAGCGGGTGCTGCTGCTTGCTCGCGATTGTCAATTCAGATCGACCATCAAGCTTCAGCCTAAGAAAACAGATGTTCCCATGGGTACAACTTATGAGTTTCAACGAGTCAAAACTCGGAGCAAGCTCAAAGTTTTGAAGAGGACTATTCACTGAAATTTCAGTCAAGTAAAACTACAGGAAGATTAACACTCGCACCGACAAAATTAAGCCGCCACTAACACTTTCACTATACATGCACAAGTATGACAGGAATATGCATTAGTCTCATTCCGAGTCTTCACTGTAAGTTTCATGCTCAGGTCATATTTGATGCAAACTTCAATCACTGCAGCGGCAAGAGATGAAGAACCAAGTCTGAACATAAACATGCTTGCAATCGTTTGTTTTCCTTCTTGCAAGACTTCACTATAAGCTTTGAAATGATCTCTGTCTCTACACCTCATATTTTCTCTGCAACCAATGAGAACCTTACGATGACCAAAATCGGGGGGATCGTGATAGGACTCATGAAGATCTAATGGTAGGATGACCAAAGCAAGAATCAAACAAGTCAAAAGGAATATGCAAATTGAAAAAAATCTACCTTTTTCATGATGTCTCTAGTTATTGAACAAGAACGAGCTTACATTAGCTAGTAATTAGGATTCATGTTATCGACCTCGAAATTTCTAGATAGTTTCTGGTGTGACCTAAACGTACTACAGCTAATTTAGAAATACATTCAGCATAAAAAAATTATTACTACTACATACAGCTGCTTATGTAGGAAGTAGAACAACAACAATACCATCAACCAGCAAGCCACCTTACATACAACAGCACAAGCTTAAAATCTTCTAGGGTAGACTTTATTCATGCCCGCTTGGAATACGTAGCCACATTAGCAGTCACAAGTTCGCATGAGATTAACTTTCTATGCAGCCTACAATTTATTTGACAAGTGATAACAAATTTGTTTTTTTATCAAGCCTAATGAGACAATGACAATCAAAAGAGAAGGGAAAAAGACTCACAAGAGACAAAAGTTAGCTGCCAAAAGCCCGCACACCCTTAACAAAATTGTGACTCCTTAATAATCTTCATTCCTTGTGGCTTTAAGTTAAAGGATGAAAAACAATTATGAATTGATAACCATGGATATTAGTTTTGTTCTGATCTTACTCAACTTTTTCTCGGGCCATCTACGTTAATCCACAACCACTGGTTGATGAAATATTTATCAGACTGCTCAGTTGCCAAGTCACGCACTCTCCCAAACAACATAAACATGGACATCATAGGTGGGCTCCATCTTTCTGTTATAAAAGCCCCTAATTCCCAACCTTCTCAAGCACCATAGTGAGAGTAACCTGTAATCAAGTATACCGAGTGAGTTGAGAGAAACACCAAAGATGGCTTCCAAATCTTCAACCTCACCAGCATTTCTCTTTTCAATCATTTTGGCTCTTGTGGTCGGCATCAACGGTGGTGGAATTTCTATCTATTGGGGTCAGAATGGCAACGAAGGCACTCTAGCTGACACTTGTGCCTCCGGAAACTACAAGTTTGTTAACCTAGCTTTTCTATGTGTCTTCGGCAATGGCCAGACTCCCGTGATCAATCTCGCCGGCCACTGCGATCCTTCTAGCGGAGGATGCACCGGATTGAGCTCTGAGATCAAATCTTGCCAAGCTAGCGGAGTCAAGGTGATACTCTCGATCGGAGGAGGTGCAGGAAGTTACTATCTCACTTCCGCCGAGGATGCTAGACAGGTCGCGACTTATCTGTGGGACAACTTCCTAGGAGGCACCTCCTCATCTAGGCCACTTGGGGACGCGGTGCTCGACGGCATCGATTTCGACATCGAAGGAGGCACAAGTCAACATTGGGATGATCTGGCTAGGTACTTGTCTGCATATAGCAGCGGGGGGAAGAAGGTGTACTTGACTGCAGCCCCTCAGTGTCCTTATCCGGACGCTTGGGTTGGAGGTGCCCTTCAGACAGGCTTATTTGACTATGTCTGGGTCCAATTTTACAACAATCCTCCGTGCGAGTACAGTTCTGGGAACATGGGTAATTTAGAAGATGCATGGAAGCAATGGACTTCGATTCCCGCCAGCGAAATTTTCTTGGGATTGCCCGCGGCTCCGGATGCAGCTGGCAATGGTTTTATTCCCGTATTGGATCTTACTTCCAAAGTACTGCCCGCCATCAAAGGATCTGCCAAGTATGGAGGCGTGATGCTGTGGTCCAAATATTATGATGATCAAACTGGATACAGCTCTTCCATCAAGGGATCTGTCTGAAGGTGAATTTTACCTCGTGTAATACTCTGTAATAAGCTAAGCTACCTTTCTTGCGTGCAAATATGTCTCGTCACTACTCATGTGAAATCTCCTCATGTAATCACAGATATTGATCACAGTGGATATGTTTACCGATTAATGTCAAATATATTAATCATGTCATCACGATACAATATATATTGAGATCCACTCTTATTTTACACTCAACTCGATAAATATTCTGATTAGCATATAGAATAGGTTGGGATTATTTCATTTCAAGAACAAATTTCTAACCTAATTCACGTGTCCCAATGACCATTTATTGAGATTGATTTACAATCCCTCAAGTTATAAATAAAAGATTCCAGGGCGACTTTGAGTTCTCTTCAAATCCGGTACAAGTAATTGGGTCATACACAATAGAAATCATTAAGGCTTCGTCTATGACTAACTCGACGTTAAGTGGATCATGCACTTCTCTGATTTTGGTCAGATGAAATCTTCCACCTTCCGAGTGGATTAAGCCGAATACTGATGGGGCATCTAAAGGCAACCCGAGACTTACTGGTGCGGGGGGTTTATTCAAAAACGAATGAGGCAGCTGGCTTGGTAGTTTTGCCGCATTCGTAGGAATATGTTCATCGACACAAGCAAAACTTTAGGCTTTGTGGTTGAGGATCAACTTCACAGAACAACTTGATTTTCATAAAATCATCATTGAGATTGACTTCAAAGCCATCACTAATATTATTAGTCCAGAACTTTTAATTGATAATGCTAGCCCTGCTGCGCTCTCGCTTTGAGTTTAAAGTGCAACATAATAACTTTTGGAAAGGAAATCGTTCTGCTGACTGGCTTGTTAATCTTGAAATCGATAAGCGTTTGGATACTAGTTTCTTTTCATTACCTCCTACAAAGTTAATTCATGTTTTATTAGGTGATAAAATAGGAATAGTAGATTTACGACGTTAAATTTTCGTATTCGGCTTTATCCCTTTTTCATACCCCAAAAAACAGATGCAAAATGTTTATCACCATAGTTTTTTCTTTTGAAGAACATCAAATTTGAAATGCAGATCTAGAACAACTCAAACAAGGAGGAATCTAAGCAGAATCGACCATGTTCCTGTGAGAAAGAGCTGTAAAATATATTTATGATTGTAATTTGCTAGAATCAAGGATTATAGTTAGCTAGTTTAGAGGATATATTTTTTAAGATTCTTTCTTTTCTTTGTATATATATACGCCTCTAGGTCATTGTAAACTAATGAAGAAGAAATACAGAAAAGTGAGGAATGCGGTTTTCTTCCTCGAAATATCTTTGTGTTAACAGTTCCTGCAATGTTCATTGTTCATGCTTATAATCAATTTCTCCGGACGTGGGAAACTTCCAGGCAACTTCACTATATTAGGGAAGTGTCCTTTGTGAAGATTTGGTTTTAGTATGAGATGATTATATTCGGGCAATGGATAGCGCAGAGCCAGCCTCAACTCCATGAAGGATAGAACCTGTCGGACCGGGACCTAGCAGGGAAATGGTCATTTTCGTATATCAAGTGATAAAGATCTACACATGTAATCAGCATACGAAACATCTATGACCTCAATAGTTTTCAATGATCCGCACCTCCAAACATTCCCGCAAAGGTGGTACAATGATCTGCAAATTTTGCAGACTTGCCTTAATATATTTGTAGCAGATCCCCCTTCTTTGGAACTTCTTTCAAGTGGAAAAGACTGTACAAATTTAACAACAGGAAACCTTATCGAAGCAAGGCTGAGTTAATTGATTGCTCACCCGAAGGCAACAGCATCCAATTGAAAATTTAGCAGCACCTTTCAGTATCTGCAACAATCAATATAACATGTTTCGAACAGGTCGTGCTCTATACAAAATATGGCTATAACAACCGCCACCACCAAGGTCAGGTTTTAGGAGAAAACTTGACTCCGCTCGCTTCTCTAATATCAACTTCTTTCCATGGAAGTTCCCGATTAAAACCCCCGCAAATGTGGAGCTGAAATGTGCAAAGCAGAGCCATCACTTGTTACCCCATAGCCACATATTGTCGAACTAATTTTCATTTGGTCCATCCAAGGGAGGTGTACTTGTAGCACTTATGCAGCTCTAAATATTTAAGAACAGGACAACTCTTCAAAACAATCTGGGATGCTTGATTACTCAACTCCACCCGCCCACCCATGAGGCACAAGGACTCACCCGCAGGTCTACGAGAGGAGCAGCGCCTGAGGAATAGAGGAAGGCCATACTCACCTTTCACAAGTCGAGACGACATGATGCAAAGTGGCAAACCGGACTGACCACCTTTTTTAAGTCTGCGGTCATACGGCATCTTGATGTGGAATTCATGTACCATGGGTGCGGAATTGAAAACGAAAACACTGTTCATGAAATCCCAGAAACAATCAACGAGCGATTTCAAAGGATTCCTGAGAATGGGGGAGAAAATGAGGTAAGGGATCGTGGTCCAGAGGTGAAGCGTCTTCAACAGAATGCAGAGTCCCATCGCCTCTTCGACTTTGGAGAAGCAAAAGATGTGGTCGATCGGGCGATCCAGCAAACGGCTTATGTGGTCACAGTCTTGGTCCGCCATTGGATTTCATTCAAGGGTTTCGCAATGCAAGGCTCTAGGATGAGAAGAGAAGGAAAATTCCCAAACAAATGAAACTCAAAAGGAGGATGGGAAAGAGAGAGATTGAATGTGTACTGCTTTATCACATGAGCACATGGTAGGTTTTGAGAAAGGCACAGTTAAATTCCCTCATCTTTCTGTTTCCTGGTGCTTTTTATCACATGAGAACATAGTAGGTCTTAAGAAAGCAACTGTTAATTCCCTCCCCATGCCCCTCTCTCTCTCTTCCTCTCTCTCAGCACATTGATTTGAACATTGAAAAACATCCTAGCTCATAAAGCTGGCAAGCTTCATGAGATTGTTCTATTATTCACCAGACGATCGTGGGATTGACGGTATATTATATAGCAGTAAAACGCAAGAAGATTTGCAATTGCAGACTTGAAAGAACCCATATATTCACCAATCCAAGTAAGGCATTTCCCCAATAACGTTGGGACCGCGATAGAACCCACGAAGATCTAACGGCACGGCAACTTGAGCAAGAATGAAACAAGTTTCACGGTCCCTCTAGTTCTCGAACAAGAACAAGCTTACATTAGCTCGTTCGTAAGATTCATGTTATTGACCTCGAAATTTCTATACAAGATCTGGTGTGAACTTAATTTAAAAACACTATAGCCAATTTTAGAAATACTTTCAACATCAACAAATTATGACCACTAGAGACAGCTGCTTATGCAGGAATTAAGACGATACCAATATCATCGACCATCAGGACAATTTACATGCAAGTGACAACGATTAGCTGCCAAAAGCCCGCAACCAAAATTGCGACTGCTTCTCGATCTTCATTCCTTTTGGCTTTAAGTAAAAGGATGAAAAGAACAATTATAAATTGATGGCCATAGAGGATGGTTTTGTTCTGATCTTACTTGACCTTTTACAGGCCATCTACGTTAATCCACGTCCACTAATATTTGTCAGACTGCTCAGTTGCCAAGTCACGCACTCTCCTGGAAAACACAAAAGGACATCATAGGTGGGCTCGATCTTTCTCCTATGAAAGCCCTCAATTCCCAACCTTCTCAAACACCAAAGTGAGAATAACCTGTCATCAAGTATACCAAGTGAGTCGAGAGAAACACCAAAGATGGCTTCCAAATCTTCAACCTCGCCAGCAATTCTCTTTTCGATCATTTTGGCTCTTGTCGTCGGCATCAACGGCGGTGGTATTTCTATCTATTGGGGTCAGAATGGCAACGAAGGCACTTTAGCTGACACTTGTGCCTCCGGAAACTACAAGTTTGTGAACCTAGCTTTTCTCTGCGTCTTTGGCAATGGCCAGACTCCCGTGATCAACCTTGCTGGCCACTGCGATCCTTCCAGCGGAGGATGCACCGGCTTGAGCTCCGACATCAAGTCTTGCCAAGCTAGGGGAATCAAGGTGATGCTCTCAATCGGTGGAGGCGCGGGAAGTTACTATCTCACCTCCACCCAGGATGCTAGACAGGTTGCTACGTATCTGTGGAACAACTTCCTAGGAGGCCACTCCTCGTCTAGGCCACTTGGGGCCGCGGTGCTCGACGGCATCGACTTCGACATCGAAGGAGGCATGACTCAGCACTGGGATGATCTGGCTAGGTACCTGTCTGCGTATAGCAGCAGGGGGAAGAAGGTGTACTTGACCGCAGCCCCGCAGTGTCCTTATCCGGACGCTTGGGTTGGAGGTGCCCTTCAAACAGGCTTATTCGACTACGTCTGGGTCCAATTTTACAACAATCCGCCGTGCGAGTACAGTTCAGGGAGCATGGGTAGTTTCGAAGACGCGTGGAAGCAATGGACCTCGATCCGGGCCGGCAAAATCTTCTTGGGACTGCCCGCGGCGCCAGATGCGGCCGGCAATGGCTTCATTCCCGCATCGGAACTTACTTCCAAAGTACTGCCCGCCATCAAAGGATCTCCCAAGTATGGAGGCGTGATGCTGTGGTCCAGATATTACGATGATCAGACTGGATATAGCTCTTCCATCAAGCACTCCGTCTGAAAAAGTGAATTTTACCTCGTGTAATACTCCGTAATAAGCTAAGCTACCTTTATCGCTTGCAAATGTGTGTCTCTTCACCACTCATGTGAAATCTCGTTTATGTAATCAAATATGTTGATCTTTGCTCTCAGTGCATATGTTCACCTATTAATACCACGTACATTAATCATATCGTTGCAGTTTGCTGAAATCCACTCTCATTTTTTAATCGGCTCGATCACTGCTGTGATTTTCATTTCATGTCCAATCCATCGAGTTGTAAATAAAAGATACAAAATACCGTGTCGACATGGTGTATCAATTTCAGGGAGTGAGAGCATAATCCCCATAGCTTTTCCTACGAAATAACTTGAGAATTCGGAATTGGGTCCGCTCATATCGCCTTTGCCTTCAGGAAAGGATCAACGGCCTTTGATTGGTCGAACCCGGACAAGGGCGAGAGCCCCTCGGCCCGCAGGCGATAAATCCCGACGACCAATCACATAATTTCCTCAGTTTTTAATTTAATTACGCCCCCATTAATTCCTAATTATCCACAAAAGGAAACTATTTTATTATCCGAAACGGATATCTTCTCTCCCCCCCCCCCCCCTCCCGCTCCCCATTTTCCTGCTTCCCGTCTGGCCCAGGAAAATATCTCAAATCTTCACCGGTCGCGATTTTCTCGGGAAAAATGTCGCCTCGCCGTTTCGCAATCTCTTGATCCTCCGCCACCGCCAAGCGAAGCTCGCCATGGCCGTCCCAATCCTCTCGCCGGAAGTCCCCGCGCTCCGCGCCGTCCGGCGCGCGGGATATGCCGCCACGGAATTCTCCCCCCTCGGGAGCCCTAATCCTAGGAATCTCAGAGCCGTGCCGCTGCTTCGGAGGAGCGAGGATTGGGGGTCTCGGATGAGGCTCCGGGCACGGACCAAGGGCGCCGAGTTGGGAGTTGCTTCGGATTGCGATCAGAACGTGAGCCTGCACGGGCAATTCTCTGCTCCGGTGAAGAAGAGCAAGGAGGAGGAGGAGGAGGAGCAGGATTATTACTTGAACATGGGCTACGCGATTCGCACTCTGCGCGAGGAGTTTCCGGAGCTGTTCTACAGGGAGCTCAATTTCGATATCTACAGGTTCGAACTTGTTGATCGCTCGTGGTGTTTATGGATTCTGTTTGGTGGCTTAGCTTCTCGAGGAATGAATTTATGCGATTGTGCCGGTGCTATAGTCGAAAAGTTTTGGTTTTTTCGACGATGTTTAGCTCATATTAATTAGTTTCAGTTGATGAGTGACGTCGTTGCTAATGCAAATGAAGCATATGGATGGCTTGGGTAAAGCGGGTGGGTTTTAAGCAGAATGCTTATGTAACTAGTGATGGTTTTTGGCCCAAAGTAAAATACCCAAGCTTTTTTTATGGTACATGGAGACGCAATTGGTGCAAGCACAAGAGCTTGATCGATTATGTTAGTTCAGGTTCCATTGCTATGTAAGTGAACAGGCGGTTTCGTGTTGGTTTATCAATGCATTTCTGGGCGATCGTGGTATACTAAAAGGAGATGTGTCTACTTGCAATTCATAGCCATGCTAGTTACTTGGTAGTTTCATTATAAACTGATGCGATGATTCATTTGTTACTATGGACTTAATAAAGCCATCAGATGGTTTCTTCAGGAGTTCATTGGGTATATAAGTGCCTGATTTGTATAGCTATAGCCCATGTGTGCTTTTTACTATCAGCATAAGTTTCAACATAAAAATATTCTTGGAATCATCAATAGGAAAATGGAAATGAGATGAACCTGAATGAATACCCAAGTTCTTGACGTGGAACCAGCTGCAATGTCAAAGTCAATAGATATTTGATCACCTTGTGCTGATTTACCTTGCTCATTGCTATTGTATTCTGAACTTGGGTCGTCACTAGTGCCCATACGCAGGATGGGTGCAGGTATAATAATCTTGAATCTCTTAATACTTGATAGTCACATTAGGTGTTCTCTTAAGCTTGTAAGAATTCAAAATTTTTTCTGCTCTCGTATCCACAAATACTAGATTGGGAGGGAGCTCCTACATATATGTGCATATGCTCTCTTGATGTTCATAACGAACTATCACACAGCTGTGGTGTGTTGTTTATGTGCCTTTTGCTTGTGAATGCCTTCTGACTACCGGGTGAACTCTAAATGCTTGTCTCTGCTGCTAATTATTTTCTATATGGCGACCTATGCTTATTCACATCTAGTCTGTTATACTTTGAGATAAAACTGTGCTTTTAGTTTTCTGGGTCGTATGCACTTAACTTGGTGTTATATCCTACTACTGACCATATAAATAATGACTGTTCTCGATGATGATGCACATTTTGGAAGTTCCGAAAGCTTGTGTTGTTTCCTTTAGGAAAATATTAATAGCCATTCTAAAGTGGTGTCTTGGAAATCAATGTAAGATGCTCTTCTTTGCTTTCTTTAGGGATGACATAGTCTTCAAAGATCCGCTCAACACTTTCATGGGAATTGAGAACTACAAATCTATCTTCTGGGGATTACGATTCCATGGAAGAATATTTTTCAGGGCTTTGTGGGTTGACGTTGTTAGCGTGTGGCAGCCGGTTGAAAACGTCTTGATGGTTCGGTGGACTGTTCATGGAATTCCGCGAGTCCCATGGGAGAGTCGCGGTCGATTTGACGGCACTTCTCAATACAAATTTGATAAGAAGGGGAAGATTTTTGAACACCGTGTCGATAACATCGCTACCAATTCACCCTATAAGTTCAAAGTGCTAACTGTGGGTGAGCTGATCCAGTCTCTGGGCTGCCCCTCAACACCAAAGCCAACATATTTTGAGAGTTCATCGTCTTCATCTTCGAGAAGGAACTAGCGTAGAGAAGTTGCCTTTCAATTTTGATATACAGTGCGTCCTTAAGTTAATCCCTGCAGGTTGAACTTTTGGCCCGCTTTTTGCCAGGCTCAAGCAACTTGGGACTGTAATGGCAGGTTATTAGATTGAGTCATCCTAGAAGACACTTGTACTATAACTGTATATTTGTATAGTATTGAACGAGTGTAAGCTGTCGTTCTCCCCTAGATGGTGTGTCCTGTATGACATTTTGCGACACTGAGTATGAATTTACCATGCGTTATGTTCTGTAAGTTCACTATTTTCTGGTGCCAGGGTGCTTAGAGGTTGAACTCTGCGACGAGTTTGAATGCTTCTTGAAAGGAGGTTGAGCTATTAAGATGAAGATAAATTTGGCATCATTACTCTTACTTATTTTGTGACTTCGATCATCACAGCTCAGGTGATTTACAATGACAAAGCACGTGTTTTTTTTAGACCAAACGACAACATCAGATCACTTCCACTGCTGAAACAAGAATTTACAACACCGAAAGCTCTTCTTCATTAAGGAGGAAAGCTTTTCAGGTCCTCCTTCAACGTGTTACACAAAGGTGGAGGAGGATTGTTAACCCAATCTAAAGAAACTTTTCCTGTCCTAGACAGAGCAGCGACCCAATTAGCAACATCATAACCACTTCTTCTTACTAAAGCAACTCTAACCCTTTCCGTTTCTCTGCTGAACATCTTCATATCTTTGAGTAAGAGGTGCAATCTTCCATGGCACTCCAGCTAGCTCTTTCACAAGTGCATCAGGAACCCTCTTGGAATCAATCTCCTGCTCACATTTCTCCCAAACTCCTAGTTCTAGCTAATTTCCCCTCCTTTGCAGCTAGGGCCTCTGCCAAAATAGCACAATCAGCTTTAACAATCTTGGACACTCCATCGATGAGTTTATCAATCTCAGACCCCACAGTAACTTTTCAATCTTCCTCTGAAAATGCACCATCGCAATTTATTTTAACATCATACACCTAATTTGTGACCAAGATTGATCGAAAATACTATCCCGTTAAAAGTTAGACTAAGGATATAATTGGGTCATACTCATCAAGAATTTTCCTACACACCCAACTCATCCAAAACGTGTGGCCGGATTTTAAGATGTCATATTTCACGATCACGGCCCTCCGATCATGAGGCGTGGTGAATGATAAATCGAAGCAAATTTGGTTCATTAAGTTGCGATTCACATGTTAATCGATACAAATTTTAGTAGAACGAAGAATTCAAAGGATAAATTGGCAAAAGGGGGGAAAAAAAGGAACAAGAAGCAGTCGCACGTGTCGGCCGCAAAAAGAAATTAAAAAAGAAAAAGAAAAGAGGCCACCATATTTCAGATCCGACTGTGTTTCCCATTGAAGCTGTGCATCTAAGCGTGCGGTCGCTCCATTCACCCTCGAAAGATCGATTCGTCTCTCGACCTCAATTCGCCATTCTCGTCGACGTTCGACCTAATCCGAAGCTCTCGCGATCCGTCGGAGAGTCTCCGATGTTCAGCCGCTCCGAGAGTCCCCCGCAGCTTATGACATTCGAGGTCAGTTTCGCCCCGTCTCCGTCGTGCCGGGCATAGCGGCGGCGGCGGCGAGCCGAATCGAGTCTGCTCGCTCGTCCACGACCGTGAACACTCCCCTTCCTCAGCTCTCCTTCGATTCGCTCCGCAAGCGCGAACAATGTCGTCGTTCCTGCACCAGAGACCCCTCCAATCCACGCTCTCCTACTTCCGCGAACCGTCGTCCCCTCGCTCCTCGGCGCTCGCTCAGAAGCACCCTTCGATCTTCGGTCGCACCGGCCTCTTTATCCTCCTGTTGGCCCTCGTGATCCTCGGCGTCTTCATGCCGTGGTCGGAGATGCACGACGGCATTTTCTCGAGCACGAGGCCGGCGCTCACCAAGTGGCGGGCCTACACTCTGGCGCAGGCGGCGTCGTTCGTGGCCAAGAACGGGACGGTGATCGTGTGCGCCGTGAGCCAGCCTTACTTGCCCTTCCTCAATAACTGGCTGATCAGCATCGCCAGGCAAAAGCACCACGAGAAGGTGCTCGTGATCGCCGAGGACTATGCCACGCTCTATAAGGTTAATGAGAGGTGGCCTGGGCACGCGGTTTTGATCCCTCCGGCTCCCGATACACAGACGGCGCATAAGTTTGGTTCTCAGGTATACTAGGGCTCTTCTGGGAATTGAGTTAAGTCGATGCTCATGTGGGTTTAACAGAGAGACTGATGTTGCCCTTGTTGCGATTATATTATGGCCTTTATAGACTTCACCCAAGGAATTTGTGGTTTATTTGTTGCTAGAGATGAGCAACTAAGTATGAAATGCTAGGTACTACTGTTGTCATCTGAAACCCATGCTGTGTTGCAAGTTAATCGGGTTGCGGTTGGCATTTACCTGCTGAGGTGCTTGATATAATCCTAGCCATAAGGGGTCTTGGTAGAGGTGTCATAATGCCTGGGGGAAGTATCATTGTATTCTGATGTGCTGGTTTGTAGCTGTCAATTGGTCGGTTCATGTTTATTGCCCTTTTGTTTTTTTGAGATGGTTGTTTATTTTCCGAGTTCAATGGACAGCCTTTCTAAGCTTGCTACCCTTTTCCTTCTTTTTTATGTCACAAGGGGTTCTTCAATTTTACATCACGAAGGCCTCGCCATCTGCTAGACATTTTGGAGCTTGGGTATAATGTTATGTACAATGATGTTGATATGGTTTGGTTGGCTGATCCATTTCCTTATTTGGAAGGAAAACACGATGTCTACTTCACCGATGACATGGCTGCTGTAAGTATTCCAATCCTCGGAATTAGTGTTTCTCTCATACATAGTATACTTAGTGGAGTAAAGTTTTACATGTTGGCTCTATTTCACTCTATCTACCGAGAAAGGGGAAAAGAACATGAAGTGAAGGAACAATCTCTTGTAGTTACGATTTGATTATGCTATATTTTCTCTTTATCACATTTATTGAGACATTATTGAATGATTTGTAACGGTGCTTGTTCAGCTGGAATGTTGCGTTGATCTTCGTTTCTACATTCGGTAATATGTCTGTCTTCATTCTGAAAGTTGATGTAATTTGCGTGGTTAGTAACGTGATTGTCAGCATTCATGAGAATCATGCCATCAAATAGTCTGGAGCATCCAAATCATGGGGTGTCTTTCCGAATCATGTTTTAAGCCTTACATCCTCTTAAGAACCACAGACAAGGCAAACCTTCAATAGTCCACCCAGTTAAGAAAATCAGCAATAGAGAGTGACAAAAACAGAGAGCACGATAAACACCAAGTGATGTTTTAAGACTAATTGCAGTTTCCAGCATTTATGGAGTCAAAGTCCTGTTGCAATGGATTTCTACAGTCCTGGTCCATCCGTACCCAAAAGTAAAATATGTCCCCATACTTACGAGTCTCGATAGCATCCAACAATGCTCTTTCAGCAATAAAAGGCAGGGATGCCTCTTTAAACCCCATTTTAAAATGCATCTGACCAAGAAACTGCTTTATCTTATGTCACGCCCTTTTCCCAACATAGATTAAACAAAAACATTCTGAAAAAGCGCATTTGGAGTTTAATATGTTTCGCCTATTTCTGTCTTTATTTAGACAGCAGTTATGCTTTACAGTCTGCCATCTTATCAACCCTGTGTACCTGGTTTTTACTGTCTGAAAGTCTGAATGGTCCATTGTTCTCATTCTTAATATTCATACTCTTTCTTCTTTGAACAGGTGAAACCCCTGAACCATTCTCATGATTTACCGCCTCCTGGAAAAAAGGGTCGGACTTACATATGTAGCTGTATGATCTTCCTGCGCCCCACTTCTGGTGCAAAACTTGTGATGAAGAAGTGGATCGAGGAACTTCAAGCTCAACCATGGACAAAATCAAAAAAATCCAATGATCAGCCTGCTTTTAATTGGGCACTGATGAAAACCTCTGGACAGGTTTGTCGAGTCTAATTTGGACAGCTCATGTCGATTGTTCTAATGCCAACCAATTAGTTGGCTTTTGGAGAATGCATCACTATTCCATGGTATATTGGTGCCATGAATGATTGGATGATAGAGCAAAATCACGACTAACACTGACATCCACTTGCGTTTGTCATCGTATATACTCATCTTGCTCAAAATATCTGTTTTGATCATGGAGTTGAGATATTTTCTTGATTCAGATGGCAACCTGTTTATGGAACTTGAGAAACTCCTTAATGCGCTTTCGATAATTCTTGATCATCTGGTCAACCAGTTTTAGTAGAGAACTCGGTCCTGCATTTCCTGCACCTAGCCCTGTCAATCGATTATGATTCAGGACGATTTGTCGAGGGATTTGCTACATAGAGATCCAGCAAAGTAAATAGATGCTGCACTGACACAATTTGCATAATACTTGTGTCATACTTATGACCGGTTATATTTCTTCCATCTGCAGGTTGATCTCTACCTGCTGCCCCAGAAAGCCTTCCCCACGGGAGGCCTTTATTTCAAGAACCAGACATGGGTACAGGAAACCAAGGGCATGCATGTCATAATCCACAACAACTACATTACAGGTTTCGAGAAAAAGATAAAGCGGTTCCATGATTTCGGTCTCTGGTTGGTGGACGATTACGCCAATGAGTCCCCGCTAGGCAGGTTGTGAGAAATTCATCACCACCTTTTCCTTTAGGTGAGGCTCTGCGACGAATTAACCCCTTCTAATGCTGACTCCTGGGGCTGTTTGTTGCTGCTGCCGTGGCATTGCAAGGTAGATGAAGTCGGAGGACTATATATCAGATTCTGCAGCTCATACACTCCCAGTTTCAGTTTTGCGGTTGCTGCTGGCTCTTGTTAGAGCAAAGAGCCTCTGTTTCATTTAGTTACATTTTCACCTAGATTAAGATCTCGCCCATCTCAAGGCAAAGTTTTTATTTATTCTTTGTATCACGAATCGTATAAAAGAAGAAAAATCAAAGTTAGATCCCATTGGCTCATGTAAAAAGCTTCTTTGAGTTACGTTGCAACTCAGCATCTATGGGGGTTCCCTTGGCGAACTCCCGAGAGCACTCCATGTTATGGATTCGGAAGGGTTAGAGAAACTAGCATGGGCTTTGCGAGCATAATAATATTTTGGTTAATGTGAAAATAACAGCACGTTATGAGCTGCAAATTCTTGAATGAGTGGATCAAATAATAATTTATAATTATTTGTTATTTATTTTTTTGTGATGTTAATCTCACAAATTAAGAATTGTCACTTAATTTAAATTGTCCAATTTTTTT